TGTTTGGGTGCTGCACTCCATATATGTGAGCAGTACTCCATAGTTGGTCGAATCTGGGCTTTGTAGAGTGTCAGCAATTGGCTTGGTGTGTACAGATGTCTTGTACGAAATAGCACCCCCAGCTTTTGGGAGGCCCTTTTAGCGATATCTGCCACGTGACTGTGCCAAGACATGTTGGTCTCTGCAGTAACCCCCAAGATCTTCAACTGACTCTGTAATGTGACAGCACTTCCAGATAGCATGATGTTTGGCTCACCGGTGCTGGTCTTTTTTGAAAACAGAGCTGCTTGGGTTTTCTGCGCGTTGAACTGTACAAGGTTTTTGTTACCCCAGTCCTCTATTATCTCCAGGTCGTTATTTATCTGCGATATTTGAGTTAGTCTAAGATGGTGGAATTCACGTGCGGAAAGACCTGTGGGTGGTATGAGTGAGGAGACTACATTGCCATCGTCTGCAAAGCAATAAAGTGGATTTACTGTTTTATCTATGAGGTCATTTATGTAAATCAGGAAAAGAGTTGGCGAAAGGATTGCTCCCTGTGGCACACCAGCATTTATTTGGTAAGAGTTGGAGTTCTGGCCAGTGCAACATAAATGGATCTGTCCTTTAGGTAACTTTCAAACCAAGTGCAAAGTTTCGGCGATAATCCCATTGCTTTGAGCTTGTTGAGCAGATTTTCATGACAAACTTTGTCGAATGCTTTAGATATATCTAAGGCAATTGTTCTTGTTTCACCCCGCAACTCAATCGCTTTTTGCCATAAGTGAGTGACGTATGTAAGTAAATCGCCAGTTGACCTATATTTTGGAAATCCGTATTGCTTATCGTTGATAATTTTGTACTTTTCCAAGTACTTGGTTAGGTGATTGTTCACAACTCTTTCCATTACTTTTGATATCACCGGAAGTAGAGCAATTGGTCTATAGTTTAACGGATCTGTCTTTTTTCCTTTCTTTGGAATGGGTTGTACTGCGGCAGACTTCCATGATGATGGATATACTCCTTGCCTGTAAGACAAATTGAATAATTTTGCGAAAGTTGGGGTGAGTTCGTTGGCGCAATTTTTGAGTACTATTGCGGGAATGCCATCCGGACCCATTGCTTTGTTTGTATCCAGCTTTTTTAGGGATTTTCGTATTTCTCTGTGACAAAAGGGTACCTCTGGCATACTATGGGAAACCCTTTCAATGAACGGTGGAGTTTTTCCGTTTGGCACTGTTAGGTTGGAGTTGGAGGAAAACATTTGGGCAAGCATATTGGCTTTTTCCTCTGATGTTGTGGCTAAGTGATTATTTTTATCTGCAAGTGGTGGTATGGATGACTTGGTGAAGTTAGATCCAACAGCTTTTGCAAGAGACCAAAAAGACCTAGAACTACTTGGACAATTCAGCAACCTGTTTTTTATTCTTTGATTGTATGTTTCTTTAGCGGAGTCAATAGTAGTTTTGCAACTATTTCTGGCTTCTATAAATTCTGTGTGGTTTTGAGCGGTTTGTTGTCGTTTCCAAAGGTTATATGCTCTGTGTTTTTTCTGTACAGCCGTTTGACACTGGCTGTTGAACCAAGGTTTTGCATTAGCTCTACGTTTAGTTGTATGTGGGATATATGCGTCCATTCCAGATAAGATTACTTGTGTTATTTCATTACAGCAAATAGTGGGATCAGCTGTTTTAAAGCAAACCTCTTGCCATGGAAAATCCAGGTAATACTGTTTTAGGTCATTCCATTTTGCCGATTTATAGTGCCACATTTTACGAGGAAGTGGTTGTAGGCTTGGTGGGATGAGCATTTCGCACTTTGTTATTATAAGTTTATGATCGTACGAACCAAGTGGAGCATCTACTTGAATTGTGTACGAGTCAGGATTGGTGGTTAGGAACAAGTCTAAACGCGCTGCAAATTCGCCCCTTTCTGAGATACGGGTAGGTTCATCGACAAGCTGCGTTAGACCACAACTTATGGCAAAAGCTTCTGCTTCTCTGCCTTCGTTATCTGTTTTGTTGTGGTGTTTCAGCCAGGGTATATTGTGGACGTTGAAATCGCATAAAAAGACAATTTCCGCCTGTGGATAGTTTGACTGTATACTATCACAGCTTTCGGATAATGTCGCGAAAAAGTTTTGGTAATCGGTGTTACTTGGCGGTCGGTAGAGGCAGCAGATAAACTTGGTCGATGACTTTGAGGTGAATTTTAGCCATATGATATCAAGGTTCGCTGGTTCTAGCTTCTCCTCTCGATGACATGAAAGGTCATTTTTAATGTACACACAGATCCCAAAATTATGTCGAAATCGGTGGTGTAGGTCATAGCCGGGATAAAGATAGTTCACAATAGGTGTGGCAGAACTGATTTTAGTTTCAGTGAGAACAAGGATGTCAGGTCTTTGTTCTTCAAGATGTTGGTGAACTGAATTCATATTTGTACTTATTCCTCTTATATTGCTAAAATCAATTCTGAGTTGAGTTTTTGATCTTCTCTTTATATCTTTGCATGAAGGACCCCCAGGATCACCCGACGCCCGGAGATCCGAGTGGTCGGGTATTTTACCTCCGGAATATTTTGATCCTGGAGGCGCCATCATGCTATCTGTTACTCATTGTTGGAACCGGACTGCCAGCGCAGTAGCGGAACGTGGGTATACCACTTAGCGCTACTCAATTCTGGCATGGTGGTATCTCACCGGTCGACGCCCAATGAGTAAATATAAGTATAAATAATGAAAAGCTAGAAATTGTGAACTGTTTTAAGTATCTTGGTTGCATGATAGATGAGCATTTAACCTTTTCTGATCATTTTAAATATATTTCAAACAAAATGGCAAAAAAAGTTAACTTATTAGGACGTATATCAAAGGACCTAAGTTCATGGGCTAAACTAAATATATATAAAACAATTGTTGCGCCACACCTCTATTTCTGTTCAACCTTGTTGTTTCTAATGAACAATTCTGAAGTTGATACTTTACAAAAAATACAAAATAAAGCATTACGAATCATATTGGGATGCAACAGATACACTAGAAGAACTGATATGCTGAGTCTCACAAGTCTGTTGAGTGTTAGGCAAACTTTGACCCCTCGTTTGACCCTTAACACCATGTTGTTTATTATTATATTAACCAACTAGTTCCCCAACATCTTTTGAATAATTGCAGGTTTGTTAAAGATATACATGAATATAACACAAGATCTAGAAATAACTTTTATTTGGATAGATTTAGTACTAGTTATAGTCAGAATAGCATTTTTTATAGGGGATTAAAGCAATACAATGAATTACCTGAATTTATTAAAAACTGTGATAGTCTTATGAACTTTAAAATTTCTTGTACTGAATATATTAAGCAAAATGTAAAATTATAATCATAAGAATTAAGCTATTTATCTTTTGTTGTGAAATTTCGTTACATAATGTAAATATTACTAGCCAAGTGCTAAATAAACTGATTATTAAACTATGAAAAACAAGTTCAAGTTCAACTTTGTCTAATGAATATAATGTTTATAATTTTTTTTCTGCGTACAATTTTGGTTTTTGTTTATGGGTCCCCGAGACCCGATAGTAGTACTTATGTTACTACATTTTGGTAGTAGTACTTACGGGTTAAAAATAGTATATTGTTTTATTAGGACTAAAAGTGATTACTTTTTGTGGCGAGATTAAATGATTGACAGCCGAACGTAGTGAGGCCGACAATTTTAGACGAGCCACAAAAAGTGCTTTTCTCCGAATAAAACATGCGATTTTTTCCGCAAACGGTGTTCAAAGCGATAGAATCTAGGAAATTACTGTGACGTCACTTTTTTGTCCGGCCGTGAGCGTACAAAAAAGTACTTTTTTGTACGCTCACGGAACGCGCGGACAAAAAAGTAACCAAAATAATGACGTCTGTGAAGTCAAACTTCAACATTAAGAATTGAGGTTAAAAAAGTCGTCATTTTTTGACGTTTGCGGAAAAAATCTGTTATATGGAAGCATTAAGATTTACAGCCATTTGTCAAGGAATTTGACATCCATGCGGCTTATTATAGTTTAAACGAAATTTATTGTGATGGTTTTTAATTTAGGATTTTGTACTCGTTTTTTATTTTTTGTTGCTATCCACTGCAGATTTTATACTAGAAATCAAATTAACCATTGAGCATTAGGGTTTTAAAAGAGACCATACACTTTTTGTTTTTGTACTTCGTATTTCACCATTCCATGGTTATTATTATTCTGAGCTTGCGCAGTAAAAAAAGATGATCCGTTTATTAACCACAACGGAGGAATAGCGTCATGCCTATTATAATAGAGACTTCTTGCACCTCTTGGTTTGCCATTCCGCTGTGGTTATCGTAATACTGAGTATGCGCAGTAGCTAAAAAATGTTCGTTGTACTTATTAACCACAACGAGCGGCGTTATTTAACGAGGAATAACCTTGTGCTTATAGCTATACCTATGAAGCTGTGTGGATGCCACATTGATTAAAATTGAATAGATGTCATCCCGTTTTAATAAATAATTAAATAAAATCATCTGAAATTCTGAAAAAAAAAGGTGTGGATTATCATTTTGATGTTATGAAATTGGTTTACATTACGTTCATGGCCTAGAGGCAAAATAGAAATAACGGAAATATGTAAACGTTTGGCGATGCAAAATCTCTGATTTTGAAGGTCGTGGTAATCGTTATCGCCGATAAAGGTAACCATAACTGATCCAAAAACTGCTGTTATTTTAAGGGATGCAAAAAGTCTCTAATCTCTCTGTTTTTGAAGCAGTGCAGTAATCGTTATCGTCAATTAAGTTATAGCCATAACGGAGCCGGTAACTTTTGTTATTTCAAGACGTACGAAAAGTCTCCATATTCATAAAACAATGTTATTGGAATAAGAACAGACCCACAGAACAGACCCATAGAGAGAACAGACCCAACAAAATTTTCGATTTGTTGCCAAGGTTACAATTATTGTATCAATAATACCTTAACCATAGTTACCAGTGACAATCCAAACAAATCAATCAACTGCATAATATTTTTATTTCATCATAACTTGAATCTGTGATAACTTGAACCCATCAATTAATCGGTTATTTTGTCAATCATTGTTTATCACAGAAAAAAAAACGACTTTTCCTTGTGAAAATATGGCAAATATAAATTTGACTCTCAAACACCGCTCGAAACAGATTCCAAATCGCTTGGACAAAATCAAAATAGAAGCCCGTGAAAGACGACGAAATATTTTACACTTAATTTTGGCCTATTTAAATGAGAATATGCTGAATGAAACGGCAGAATGTTTGTCGAGAGAAGCCCAGCTGGACAGCGGCTACGAGCTGTGTGAAAATGTCGAATTGGAAATTATTTTGCAAGAATATCAGAGTTATTATTACGCGAAATTTCAAAAATATCCTAAAATTGTTAGGAAATTGAATGAGGAAGAGATTAAAATAAAAACGCCCACAAGAACACGAGCTAGAAGTGCCAAAAGAATAGAAAATCTTGCACCAAATAATGAAAAACAGGAAACTCCTTCAGAGAGTGAGCCTGATTTCCACTTTCAAATTACACATTTGGGTACCACCAAAAATGACGCAACGGCTACGACCAAACCTCTATTACCAGAATGGGACCAATGTACAGATAATGGAGATTTAATAAAACAAGTTTCCGATCAAGTTATAGTCGAAGAAACTGGCGTCAAATGGACAGATTGTGTAGGACTTGATAATGCAATAGAAATTTTAAAAGAATCTACTATTTATCCATTATATTATCCAGAGATTTTCAAAAATATTTTTCCTTGGAAAGGTGTTTTGTTACACGGACCACCAGGTACTGGCAAAACATTGCTAGCTAAAGCTCTAGCCTCAGAAGTCCATACAACATTTTTCAATGTAACCAGCAGGTAATTATTTATTACTACCCCAACGTATTTATTTATAAATAATATTTTAGTTCTTTTATAAGTAAATGGAGAGGGGAATCCGAAAAACTTATAAAAAATCTCTTTGATGTCGCAAAAAATCATGCCCCAAGTACCATTTTCTTTGACGAAATTGATGCGTTAATATCCAGAACCACAGATATTCAACATGAAGCCTCAAAAAGATTCAAAAGTGAACTTTTAGTGCAACTTGATGGCATTTCCTCGAGCAGCAACCAAATTTTCATACTCGCTTCGACAAATTCACCTTGGGACCTGGACGATGCCTTATTAAGACGATTCGATAAGAGAATTTTAGTTGACATGCCTGCCAAGGAAGCTAGAATAGATATATTAAGGCATCATTTGAAAAATTCAGATGTTGCATTATCTCTAGAAGATTTTAAACAATTTGGCGATTTTAGTGTACACTATTCTGGTTCTGATATTAAAAATGTCACTAAGGAAGTAGCTATGGCGATTGTAAGAGAGAAAATTAAGTTTTTAGAAAAAGGAGGCAAAGAAGTTAGTAATAGATCGGTGATATTTGATGATATAAAACGGGCTTTACAAAAAATAAAGCCTGCTACAAATGAATTCATATGCAAAAAATATTATCAGTGGCAAAATAAATATGGAGCTTTATAATTTAAAATATAATTTTTCTACAACTTAAAAATTCGTTTTACTTACCGTGAAAACCTGCAGCAAAAGGCAGCTACTACGTTGTTCACCGTATTCATTGGGTTCCAACAATCTTTGAGTACCCAATCTCATACACCATTCACCCAAACAAAGTAGCAAAGCAGTACCCAGAGATCTGTCATTTTCTGAGGCAGTAGAACCCAAAGGAGCATGACTGAGCAATGCCGCACATAATTCACTAATTACAGCATTGCCGAGACGTGGGTATCGGGTCCATAAGAGACCCGCATGGTCACAGAGTAAAAATAGCAAGTCGCTTGATAGTTGGGCAATCATTTTGTTGTTAAACTGAATTAAAAAAAAATATATATATATAAAGCTGAGTGATAAAATGCTTTTAAATTCAAACCTACCTTTAAGGCTAACAAAAGTACATTAACAGCTTCAGCAATTTTTGGATGGAATGTATGATTAGTTAGTTCTTTGTAGATGAACATGCTCAAACCAGATAGGGCTATACAACGAGCTTTAGCTGTCGGTTCCCTTCGACCTGCTCTAAGTAAAATACTTACAACGTGTTCCTAAAAAAGAAACAACATATTTTTGAAGTTTTTGAATGTAATCTGTCCTAAATAAATTCATGTTTACATAGAAGATTCAACATATTTTTGAAATTTTTGAATGTTATCTGTCCTAAATAAATTCATGTTTATATAGAAGATTCAAAGTACCTTTATATCGGGACAATTATTCATTATTGTAATATTAGGCTCTGGCTGTAGTACAGATATAGAGCTAAGATCATCTGGTAAACTCAATAAATTAGCCAAAATCGATACGGCTTCAGTTCTTGGAGTGGATTCCAATTTTTCAGACGAATTTAAAATGTCATTACAAGCATGAACAATGTCTAGTAGGAGCAAACTAGACCCAGGCAGTTGAAGCGATAAGAAACGCGGTCCTAGGTATTTTATTGATGTGTTTTTAGTTGATTTTGTTGACCCAGTCAAAGCTAAAAAAACTTTATTACAAAAAAATCCATACTAAGTCATTTATTCCTACCTGTATGCATGAAACCATAAAACTGTGGTAGACAAATACGATATTTCGCATCACAATTCACCATAACAGTAATCAGTAATCTCAAAGCATTTAATTTTCCAGTCTCGTAGCTCTCTGATAAACTTAAGGCACCAAAACACCAAGGTAGTATCAACGTAACTGGAGGTACTAATTCTGGTGCTAGAGGTGTACTCAAATTATCCATTGAAACTCCTTGGTTTTGTTTGATTTTTATTAGAGTGTCTGTCAGTTTTATCAAATAATCAAACACTTGGGCGTGTAATTTTGGATCAGAAATTTGGTTGACGTCGCCTAAAGCTCCTAACATTCGTTTCCAAAGTATTACAGCTACATCTGGTAGCCAACCCCTAACTGAACCACCACATACAACTCCCCTATGTTCACCAGACTGTTCGCCCCCATGGATTTCAGCTAAAACATCCAATTGTATTGGAGAATCTTTGATAGAGCTGCTTTCAATTCCACTGGATGGGGCTGGAGATGGTGATCTAGTACGATCAGTTGATTCTACATCAGGAGGTGGTATGAATTCCAAAGATTTCGATCTTCTATGTTTAGCCTAAATGATTTAAATAAATATTTTTGCTATTAGCTAGATTTATAACTTACATATTTCTTCCTTACAGTTGCTCCTACTTTTACATTGATACTGGTTTCACTGAAGCTCCTTGACAAACTTGATTTGAGTCTTTTGGATGAAAAAATATTACCATCGGGTACTGAAGAGTCTTGTCTGGAAACTGCTTGATGTAACCCATCGTTTTGGGTATTGTTTGCAATCGAAGATGCATTAGTTTCAGGGCGCAATGTTATTCTTTTAGTACGTTTCCATTTTTGATCATTTAGACGATCTAAAGGCAAATTTGTTAGGTCTAGGTTATAGACGTGTCTGGCTAAAACTCTTGTCAAGGTTTCCATAGTTTTCTACAATTTTAGGTTTTGAAAAGGGATTTTGAAATTTTCTATTAGACTTACAGCCCATTCTTTAACCAATTCCTCCCAGTTAGTGAGTGACGTTAGAACATCTAAAAATCGATCCCAAAGCTCTCTGGATATTGATACATTTAAATTTGCTTTAATCCAAGTGACTATTAAAGTTTGAAAAATAGCTGGAGCTAGTTTTCCACCCAATGTAAGCATTTTCTTTTTCGGGGGAGTCTCCCCAAGAACCAAGGATGTTATTTGGAGAAGCACTACCAAAAGTTGTTCCCTATAAATTAAAAAAAAAAAACATCACTAAACTTAGAAATAAGTACTTTTTCTTGAAATCTATACCATGTATTGCTGTCCATCCGTACATTCATCACCATATACCTATAAATATTCAAAACTCTTTTGCAAGCATCAGTCTGTTCTTCCAAAAGCCTTGGAATATGAGGATTCACCTCAAGCAAGAATACATTAGCAGCGTGCGTCATGAAAAGTTGATATAGATTCTGCATTCCAGCCCTAACCAAAACATTTTCTTTATGTATTGCACCCAAATAAGAATCATTCCTTAATCTACCAATTCTGCCATGATCAGACAAATCAATTTGATTCTTTGTAATTTCATCAGGTTCTAAAGCAAACGGAGGTAACTCCGTAACGTTCCCTTGAATTAAGTCTTTGTATACTGATATAATTTTTCTTATTGCTACAACATGATTGAAATTTAGTAAAAATGCTTGTCTATATAGTTCATGGACAAAATTAACGTTATCTCTGGTAGAGCACAAGACATCTCGGATAATTTGTTGAGCCAGTTCTAAATCACTTGTAGTTTTACTTGTTTGAATTGATACAGCTGGAATTTATGAAATTATGCACAGGAATATTGTAAAATTAAATACCTACTTGAATCTAAACTGGGATGAGCTGAATCATTATCATCGTCATGCACTGGAGTCCCAGGGTGAGCACCATGACTTTGGTGGTGAGAAGGGTTCGACCCTTGTGGATTGTTCTGGCTGCCGTGATGATCACGTTTTGGTTGATGTATATAATTAGTCACCCACATAATCAAAGAAACTCGACAAAACATAAAATCTGTTTCGTTTTCCATTTTCCTCAACATTGGCAAATCTAAAATTCAGCTCAATTTATTAATGAACAGTTTAATTGTAAAACTTGCCTAAATTGGGCTGGTAAAGTGACGTTTCAACATTAAAACCTGGACAAACTTTTGGTAAATAGTAGATTTTAAATTGTTCCAATAGAAAACTGAAACATCTGTGATGATGAGATGTTTTGTCTTGCCATTCTAATTTCACAACAGTGTGTACCATGTGATCTAAGAGAGCTTCTAGATAAAATCTGAAACAATTAATAGCTTTGTATTCATCGGTCTAGATGTTTGGGTGCAGTTTTTACCTGCTAGGGTGTTCAGGTGGTTTCTCTCCACTAGATGGTGGTAAAATTGGCAACATTTCCGGTGCACTAACCGGATGTTGCGCATCATGGAAAACACTGCCGCTACTTTGAGCAGTGCTAACAGCAAGATGGTTGTTGAATTCTGGCACTAGAGAAGCAAACATTTTGTGGACGTATTCTGGGGCATTGTCGTTTAAAGCTTGGTACCTATGAGAAGCAATTAAGGATTATATTTAATTAATATTTTCCAGACTGAAACTTTTACCACAGAAGGAAATATTTTATCCCTTGTCTTCTTAATTTCAAAGAGTTTCCAGCATGCAACAATTTGGCCAACATCCGGCCCAAAGAATGCAGCTGCCATCTTCTGTGAATTAATTCTGGCAAAAGACAGATTACTTGTTCCAGTATCCATAAGGTACAATCCAGTTCTTCCTTGTGCGCTTTGTGAACTAAAATTAAATTTTGAAGGGTTATTTTGCTTGGTGCTGTTTTTTAAGTTAATAATTTTTAACATGCTTGTAGGTAGTTAAAAGAAGGAAATACTATAACTTTATACGACCTGTTACAACATTTATTTGATTAATCACATTGTATGCTGCAGAAAAGAGAGATGGTGCTCGAAGTAATTTTACAAATAGTTATCAATTAGTATAATTTTATACAGAGCCAGTTTTAATCGAATTCACACTAATACCTAACTCTGTACGATTATAATAATTAAACAATTTACACGTAAATTGCAAATATTTTATATACAAAATATCACTGATGTGTGACTTATGAGTAAAGCAATAATAATAATATGCCTAATAATGGGTGTATTAAATAAGCGAGAAGAATAAAGCACAATTAATTATTATTATGAAGCGTTACTTTTAAAAATTATACATTTAAGAAAAACCTTGTGAATGTACGAGCTGTTGCCCGAGTAGCTGCCAGCAACACCAGTTATGAGAACATAACAGTAAACTGCTTACACGTAGATGGGGTGCTGCTGAAAAGACAGTTTAAGTTGGATCAATGTTTTTGTGGAATTTATTTATTTGTAATAAATTTTGAGCTTTTTTGGAAGTTTCGAATTGAGTATAAAATAGCATGATTTTATGTTTTTTTTTCTTTCTGAATAGGTAGGTACTTGGGTTACTATAGATTGTGGGCAAATGAGGCAATTTCTATGTAGGTCATATAATTTTTAATGCTAATTTTAAAAAAATACTCATACATTCAAAATTCAAATGGTTTATCATTATACCTAGTCCAAATCCTCAAGTTCAAGATTGAGTTGCCCAGATCTAGATTCTCAGGATCTTAAGAACCCGAGTAGTTCTTTCGTACAAATGTATTTTTTTTCTTTGTTAAGAGTTCACATATTGACATCTCAAAATATTACTTTTTGGTTTTCCTATGAAACGGGTGGAGGGCTCATAGGATCTTTGGATATTGATCTCTGCGAACATTGTAATTTTCTTGGTGTTTTTATATGGAAAAAACGAGAGAAAACTCTTAAGCAGCTGATTCCTAAGTCATTACATTGCAAATTATTTATTATTATTATTAATATTATTATAGGACAGGTTATTATTATTATTATAGGTTTGAGCAGCAGTAAACGTATTGCTATATCAAGGTTTTCATTGAAAGGAGTTACATGTAATGCACAAAATTCATCTAGCTCTCTCCAAGTCCCAGTCAAGTCTGTTTTTAAGTGCAACGAAGGGTGTTCCACTGATAGACAACCCTATTCGTCAGAAAATTCTTTCTGATCAGCTTCTAGCATCTCACCTTATCCAGCTTCTTAATGGCTTTGGAGTTGCTGGTTAGTATTTAGACTGAAAATGTCCAGTTGTAAATCTGAAGAATAATGGTAATTTAAGATTTTGTACGCCTCAATCCAGTCCCCTCTCACTCGTCTAGCTTTTAGGGTTGTTATGTCGCATATCAGTAGTCTTTCTTCGTATGAGAGATTCCTGATTTCGAACCGAATGTGCGAACTCCAATTTAGGTTTGTTAGATGTTTTATATATTTTGCTAATCATGGAGATGAATCTGCCACTAAAAGCTTTCTGTATGAGGTATACAAAAGAGTTTGTCCTCTTGAAAACTGAACAATGAATGAATAATGACACCCAGATCTTTCTGCTCAGTGACAGTCTTCACAGTAGTGCTGTTTAAGCTGTAAGGTATGTTTGGATTGTTAGTGCCAATGTGCAGTACAGTGCACTCGTCGGGGTTGAATGTCAGCTGCCATTCGCTGATCCATTTCTCAAATGTTTTCAGGTCTTCTAAAAGGTTGTAATGCTCCAAGCACGGATTGCAGCATATTTTTGTGTCATCAGCATAAAAAATTATGTTTCTCTTTATAAGAGAATGAAGATCGCTGATGTATACAGTAAACAGCAGTGGCCCCAACACCGATCCCTGTGGCACCCCACTCAGGACCTTGTATTCATCAGAGTATTGCCCATTTGCTCTCTCTTGAAAGGTTCGGTTTTGTAGAAAACTGCCTATCTATCCGAGGAGCACACCCCTGATTCCAAAGTGTTGCAGTTTGAATAATAACCTCTTGAATGCCACTTTGTCAAATGCTTTCTCATATTCTAGGTACAGTCCATCCACTGGATGGCCGCTGTCCACTTCTTTCGTCCATGAGTTTATGCAGGTGAGTAGGTTGGTTGTGGTAGATCGTTGGAGGAGAAATCCGTGTTGGGTTGGTGAGATGGTCTTGTTTTCAACAAGGAAAGATGTCATTTCCTGAACTATTATTTTTTCCATGATCTTGCAGGTAAGGCTAATTGGCCTGTAATTTCGAGGGTTGAGCTTGTCTCCTTTTTTGTAGATTGGCACTACCTATGCTCGAGACCATCCCTGTGGCACAGTTTGCTGAGTGATAAGTGACTGCAAGAGGCCGGTCATCACTGGAGCCAACGACCTTTAGCAATTTATTAAAAATATTGCCAGTATTTCATCCGGGCCTGGACTAGATTCTCTTTTCAGAGTATAGCTTGTTTGAATAACCTTTTCCTCATTGACATCTATGGTTGTTAATGATTCAATAGATCTAGTATTCTGCAATAGGAATGGAAAAATTAATAGATTTTCTCTGGTGTATACCTTCACAAAGTGATCCGCGAATGTGTTAGCTGTCTTCTGAGGAACAGAGCTTAGGTTGTGCTACAATTCCATTCCTTGTAGGCATCAATAAAATTTACAGCATTAACACTGTTTTCTCTCAGTGTAAGACTTTTCCAGACAATCTCAGGGAAGTTAAAGTCTCCCCAGATAACAGCGTCTATGTTTTCCTCAAATGTTTCTTTGAGAGTGTCCAGAAGCCTCCTGTTCTGTTCCAATGTGATATGATGAAGCCTGTATATACAGAACAGAGTAAACTTAATGTCTGCTAGAACATATGATATCCAGGTAGGCATATGAGCGAGTCCGGGATTCCTTTGTGAAACCCTTGAATTCCGAGTCTCTTCCACTAAAAAAAATCTTGGGAACTTTAGATTGTTAGATTCTTAAGACTTTTGAATCCCAAATTGCTGTTTTAAAAATGTACTGGGTTTCCCTGGGAAGACAGTACAGGTCTTAGGTCCTGAATTCTGCAAACTGAAAAATTCTTGGTGCTTAACACCTTAAAAAGACTACCTTCTCGCGTTGTTTAGTAAATGTGGATCTGATCTTGCTGAAACTCATAGAAATTGTTTTAAAAAATCAAATTTATGTTCAAATTTGTCAAATATCAATTCAAGTCTGTTTTCATCTGGAATTTCTGATTATGAAGCAGTCCTCTCTAAGTTACCTCTAGAGATAAGGAAGTCACGTAAAAGTGTTTATTTTTAACCATATATGAAATGTTGTCATTACTGACTTTTCTAAAATTTGAAAATGTCACATTTCTGTCTTTTCATTTTCCTGCTCCATTACCTGTCCCAGGACGGGAAGTGAGGACGGGAAATTTTTTCCGTCCTCATTTCCCGTCCACGGACGGAAAATGGAGCAGGGAAATATTTCCCGTTCTCATTTTCCTCTTCATTTGCCGACCTCATTTGGTTGCCCCGAATTTTTTTTTTTCAAGAAATTATGGTTAAAAATAAAATAGTATACAACCCTCGACGGGAAACTTCATTGCTGTCTCGAGGTTCAGTTTATAAAACCTCTCGACCAGTAATGAAGCATTTCCCGTCTCGGATTGTAATATACTATTGACTAGGTAGGATTTTTGATGGGGGAAATTTTGAGGTGTTCCGCAATAAAACTTTGGACATAAATTGGCTGGCGGCTGTAGATTTTCCTGATTCACTTTAATCCTTTTACTTTGTTCTGCTTGATGAAACATTACAAGTAAGTCTCCAAAGTCGTGGTTCACTGAGAGCCTTCGGATATCTTGTCATAATCTTCTCAGTCTGGGCCTCCTTACCAGATACACTAATAATGTTGTCTTCATAACTAACTGTAAAAACTATCGAACTCCTGGTGGCATGTATTTACAGGCCAGGTAGCACAACAACTGAGCCAGTCAACACTCAGATGATAGGAAGTATACGCAGGGCATTTGCATCTAGAAACCCATCATTTATTTTACATAAACTGGGATAACCTGTCAATATTCCCAGCTGAAAAAAGGGAAGTCTCTATGGATATGTACCAAGAAACCATTGAGCAAGAAACCAATGTATATCAACTTGTAAACTTTCAAACACGATATAGGAACAATCAGAGCTCGCTGCTGGATCTACTTTTGTGCAGCGATCGGAAAAGCGTTTTTGATTTGAAATCTAAGCCACACGTTGGGGGTAGCGATCATGTAGTAATCACTGCCAGAGCACATATTAGGCCACCACCAAAACTATTGAAGTGATAAGAAGAAATTTCTATACAACCAACTATGATGAGATAAACAACTATATTATACACCATCCTGAAACCAACATAGGCGTCACAAAATTTGAAAGTTTCGAGATGATCTTAAATGGGGCAATAGAACAATGTATTCCATTGAAGTCTGTGAAGGCAAACCAGCAAAAGCCTTGGATTAATCAATCACTTTTTAAACAAATCAGCAAAAAACGTAAACTTTGGGATAAATACAAAAACAACAAATCTGACGAAAACTACCAGGCCTATATGACCCAAAATAACACACTCAAACAAATACTGGGCGAGGCTAGGAGAGTATATGAGCATGGCTTAGTTACAGCAGATTCACCAAAAAGGATCTACAAATATATAAGCAGAAACTTGAACTCTCAAGTTATCAACAAAAACACTATAGATTCAATAACTCAAGAATTTTTAGACAATGAAGCCATGGCTGAAAAATTTGCTGAACAATTTGACAAATCCTTCACCCAACAGCAGCACTTATGTCTTCCACCCCTACCTGCAAATACCAGAGTCTGGAATTCAATAGACATCATAGAATTCACAGAAGAAAAAGTCAAAAGAGCCCTAAATGATATGAAAAAGGTCAGGGACAGACAGGATGCCAACCATTATGCTACAAAACTGTAGTGAGTCGGTGCCAGTCGCATACCAGAGAAAAGGAAGCTCTCTATAGTGACCCCCCTTGTTGAAAAAGGCAACAGACACAAACCGGAAAATTATCGACCCATAGGTCTAACCTGAAGTGCATGGAAAAAGTCATTGTCGAGGAATTGACAGTTTTTTTCATTGAGAACAATTAAATACTACCATCACAGCACAGGTTTCTATCAAGATGCTCCACTGTCACCAACCTACTGGAGAGTCTTAATGACTGGACAGAAAACCATGATAACCTTCAGGCCACTGATATTATATATCTTGATTATGAAAAGGCTTTTGATAAAGTACCACATCATAACCTGTTGTTTGGGAAACTAGAGCATTTTGGAGTACGGGGAAGACACTCATCAGAGATCTTCTGTGTGAAAGATACTACCATGTTCGAGTCAATGGAACAATTTCAAGACAACACCTTGTGAGGTGGAGTTGTCCAGGGATCGGTTCTGAGCCCATTGCTCTTTATAACATATCTTTTTGATCTTGTTAATTGTATTGAAATAAAGATGACAAGTTTTGCAACGACGTAAAACTATATGCCAACCCTCTTCTCAATGTAGCTCAACTAAAAGCAGACTTGCATAATATTGAAGTATGGACTGGAACTTGGGGTATGAAACTCAACAAATCAAAATGCACATTGCTTAGAATCGGCCCAAACAATCCCAATGAAGAATATACTTTGAACAACACAGCACTAACAACTGTCACTAAGCAGAATAATCTCGGAGAAGTAGCAACATCCGACTTGAAATGGGAAAACCATATTCTGAAAATAGCCAAAAAAGACTGTACATTTGTCTATCTGATTAAACATGCTTTCAAAGACCACTCCGTCGAAATGATAGGCAAACTGTACAAAAGCTTTATCAGGCCTAAACTTGAATATGCCTACACTGTGTGGAATTCAATTCTATCAGTTTTATGCCTACACTGTGTGGAATTCAATTCTGTTAGTTTCTTATCATTGGTGAAGACTAGATCAAGTAGAGAAACTTCGTGATTCCGGAAACGTGTTGGAAAATCAACCATTTGGTAAGCATTAGTTTCAAGGTAGTTGTCCAAAGAAAGTTGATTTTGTTTGTCTGGGTTGGACAGATTAAGATTCTTCCAATCTTTATGCCGATAGTTGAAATCTCCCATAATATGAACGGGCGTCATTAGGCATATCCAATGAACAGGCATGTTTAATTGAGTTGTTCCTAATATTATCATTGTATAGTCATATTGTCAGCAATTATTCAAAAACCTTCAGGTAGAACTTCCAAGAGACACAGGGCAAAAACAAATAAAAACCAAGCATTTTTCGTAAATGAAGCAAAAAGTTACTATGGGTTGCCATTGTATACCATATGAAGATTTTTGACTTCATTTCTGGAAAATACTATATTATAAAGTTCACTAATATTCATAGGAAACAAAATAGTGAAATAAATTAGCAGCTACAAATCTTGCAATGACGGATAAGCAGACAAAAATTTGTTGGACAAATCTAGCTAAATCTTATCTAATCTAGACCTATTGCTCATACTAATGAATGATTTTTATGACATGTAATAAATTTAAAAAAATTAATTCAAGTAGGATCAAGTTACTGTATTTCCTTGTAATGGCAATCAAACCCAAAATGCATTATTCAGTTCACAATTTAAATTCTGTTACTTACCCAAATGAAATGACAGCTCTGTAGGCCCGAAAAGAAACAAAGTCCTTGATTAGTTATAGTTACAAATATTTACATAGACGTACAAGTAAATTTCAATTAACCATACAAACACCAGGTGCTAAATATCAGATTATTATTGAGAATATCAAGTGCTAATTTGATAAAACAGGATAAACTCCCTCAGACACCAGAAATATTAATGTGTTAGAAGATAAAAAAAAAAACTATAAAAATTAGGGACTGGATGCTCGTCCGATAATCGGAATAATAGTGTTTTTGTTTCTATTCCGATTATCGGGTTACTAGTTTATTTTGTTATTGTTCCGCAAAATGTTTACTTATCATTTTTGGACTAATAGCATTTAACGCATATTATTCCGAACATTTTTATATTTTTAGAAAAAAGTAGTAAGTAAAAGCTACTATCATGATAAGATTGCAGCCCAGTTTATACGAGAACATTACTTTAAGCCCTAGTCAGGCACTATTCTCAGAAAACAACTATGTTGATTTGAGCATGGCGATTTTATAACGAAAAAGCAGCCAGTCAAGTAATTTAACATAATTTCTTTAGGGCTAAATTATGGACCAAATGGTAAGTGTCTGGTTGTTACTTAGCAGGTACTTTCTATTATCTCGAGCATAGAAAGTACCTGCTAGGTAAAAACCAGACATTTACCAGTCAGTCCATAATTTGGCCCTTATGGCATTTAAAAAAAAAATAAGTATCTGTTTACCAGCAGACACACAGTTTCCATATGAAACCAAAAAGGGTGTTTTTATCAGGGTTTGTTAGGATGGAAAAAAATAGTAGAGAATCCGATTATCTTTAATTAGGCAATCCAAACCACGTGACTTTTCATGGCACCTGGTTGGCAAACAAAGGATGGTTTGCATTGAACCACTAATCACTAATCCGTCATTGAATCTGTCACATTCAGGTAGAATTTTATCATTTTTCTTTGAACCTTTGAAAACAAGTTTTTTGTTTATTGTTTGCCAACCAGGCGCCTTTTTTGATAGGTTGTTAGATTGCCTAATTAGAGACCAAAAATTCCATTCCAGCACAATGTTGAGAAACAACCCCTATAGTTAAGGGCGGCAAGGGCACGGAATAGGAAAATTTCTGACTCCGGTGTTTTAACACTAAGGACACCCCTCTTAAACAATCCTGAAAAAATCAGCTTGCCCCTAATTTTTTTTCACAGCTTCCGAAAATACAATTATTTTTGACTGATATTATGATTCATGAAGTAATTTTATTGATTTTCGCATGCCTTTGCTAACTGATTTAAATCCGAGTTTAAATCTTTTACCACCGAGTTTACCACCTTGATGGCAAGTATATTCTATTAGGTAGTATACCAATTCTACCTTAGCCTGTTGGCATTTTTTGGGACAACTTTTTGCAATTGTTTGCAATTTTTCAGCATCTCTTTTATATAGGGATATCAGTAACTCCTTTTCAACTGTCTTCAAGACTCTACTTCATTATAAAAATTGAGACTTTTCCCTTGTCTAACAGGTTTTTTGAATTTATAGTGTTGTAATAATTCTAATTCTACTTTCTAATACTTGCACAAATCAACATAATCTAAGGGAACCTAACCTATTTCAAACCATAAATAATTTTCGGAATAATATGAGTAAATCCTAATAGTCCGAAAATAATATATTGAGTGGTAGGCTCGGTGATAGGTAAATTCTTAAATTATTTTGCGGAATAATAACAAAAGAAACTAGTAGCCCGATAATCGGAATAGAAACAAAAACACTATCATTCCGATTATCGGACGAGTATCCAGTCCCTAAAAATTATGATAATAAATTATTGATATTGGTTGTGTGTTGTTTTAATTAGCAGGAAATCCATAATCCATTGTAGCAATATTATGCTAAAGATAAAAAAAAATCATATTAAGTAAACATAAGTGCTAATGAATATGATGATACTGAAGAGTTGAGAATTTGAGAAACTGAAAATCATTGGGAATTCCACAGCCTGACTGCAGAGACAGGAAAAAATATTGTTTGTTTTGTAGGTCTAATTGTAGACTTTTCAAAAGGAATTATAATCTTAGTTGTAGCTAGTATTACTTTCTCAACTTTCGAGTAGCAGTTTATATTATTAACAGTATACCTTTAGCTAAACAACTGTAATTACCAATTAAATGTACTCAAATTAGAACATTTAACTGTAAGTAATGAGCTCAGTAATGAAGCAGAATTTTTACTTTTTGGTTCAACTAATGAGTCATACATTTAATTAACCAATATACAAATGAATACAACATACACCAATACACATACCTCGCTGTCGTAGATTAGATTCCATTTGGAGGAAACTCTCGTAAAGAATGTTGTAGATATGACTAAAGTTTGCTTCAAAGAGCCCCTTTGCCTCTGCCGTGTCCACATTATCTAAAATACATTTTTTTTTGTACAAAAAGATTTTTAAATTTTAATTTGCAATCACCTAATATGAGTTTTAAGTGCTTAATTCTTGTGGCAACGTCCTTTTTAGGATCTTGTAATTTGGCTGTTGACTTTTTGATGTCCACCAGATTTTTCTTGCTGAACATTTTATTGCACTCACACAACACAGAATTCGGAATTAATATGGAAAATATTTAATATTCACGTGTAGACTTTCCAACATATTTTTTTCCAAGCAGAGAGACTTTTTGAATCACCTACATTTTAATTTGAAATAATAATCTTTGCCTTTGCAATGTTTTTAGTTGAATAGTTGACGTTTTGCAAATTAATGATCCACTCATCAAAACACACAAATGTTTAGGTGACTTGGGTGAGTACTGACACTTGACACTGCACTTGACTGAAGTGATAATGATTGACAGTGACATACGATTAATAGCGTTTTCCATTTGTCGATCCCGTGCAAAAAAAAAAAAATGTATCCTTATCCTTACATGTTACATGCTTTTAGAAAAAGATGCGGATACACTCAGTGGGCACTGATTGACAAATGTAAGTCACCATAAGTGTGTGCGTGGAGTTACATTAGAGCCGCCTTCCAGCTGACCATTTTGAGCAAGCAATCGAGCTTTTGCGTGCGCTAATGCTTCAAGCGCGTGTTCGTGTTCCAGCCATACTGTGCTTCGAGAGCTGCTAACTTTTGCGTTTCAAACACAGAACACTGTGCTGCACCGTGCTTGAAGCACAAACACAATTTCAGCTAGAAAGCGGCTTAGTTTTATTCCTTTCGATGACTAGAGCTACTCGCTCCGGTGTTAGTTGACCCAAGCTTGACCAAGACCCCGATTTGAAGGGAACAAATACGCTGACTTTCATGCATTAAAAATTATGTAGTTGAGTTCGGGTTTAAGCACTTCAGGTGCAACAAACACTTTTCGAAAGGAATAAGCGCGTAACACCGCGGAGCTCCTCCTAGGAGTAAAAGGAATACAACTAATCATAGGCTCACTCCGTCGTGCACTCTAAGCTGAGTTCGGCTACACTCTGTAAACTCTGAGCGCGCTCGAAACGATAAGATCCTGTTCGTTTTAGCTCTCAGAGTGTTTTCTTTTGCGTTGGCAAAGCCCAACTCAGCGTACTCCGTAGCAGATATCGTGAGCAATACTGGTTGTGGTTGATTGGCATCATGGATGATACACACTACCGGGCTGTGACACTACTACTATTACAGGATGGTCTATCCTCATAAGGCCTGAGGCCTGTGTGTAATAAATCCCCCCCCCCCCCTTCAACCCGCCAAAATACCAGTTGTGACGTAGCAGCATGTTATTTCTCGCCTTGACGTAGGCTGAAACAGCTGACGAAAATGATGCCAACTCTAGTCTCTAGATATGGAAAAAAATTCTCTAGGGACATAATATGGAAATTCTAGATAAATATAAAAAATAATATTATTATACAGGGTGTCCGGAAAATAGCATAAAGCCGTAAAAGCTCTCCTCCACTAGATAATAGATGGGGGATCCTTTGAAAAATAATTAGAAAAATCCGACTCGTAACTTCTGCCATCGATACACATCAAATATCGAAGGCAATAACATCGATGATCGCCACCATCACTGCTAGATGTGCTCCAAGCTGATTTGAACCCATATTCTCGGAACAGGAAAACTGCATTCTCATGAGAATCATTTCGACTCTGCAACCACTTAAATGAGTTCAGGAATCTAAGTCTGCTCGGAACAGGACTAACAGATACAAATGAAGACCTGTTTTTTTGCTATCGAACACCTTGAACAGAACAGAACCGAACCACGTGTTCGAAATAGCCGGAGTACTCGGAGTAGTAACTCGGATCAGTTCAATATTTACTTTGAATTTCCTATATTTTTCCAAGGGGTTAGAAAAGAGGAAATCCGGGAAAAGGGGTTGAAATCAATCAACTAATCAACTTGTCAAATGGCATGGCATCCGAATGGTACGCAAAAATCAAAGTGGTAAATCTCCAAGTAGAAAATCGAGAAAAAACGATCAAGATACGTCGCATAATGTGATGTTCACCACATATACCCGGGGTTCAGTTCACAAACGAAATTTGTACATTGTATCCTTTCCTATCATTTTTTTGTTTACAATTTTGCGCTCTTTGTTATATCAGATTTTCGTTATACTTCGGTTTGTTTATTGTCGCTCCTCGAATTATCTTGTCCGTTCACGAAATGAACAAGCCAACATGAACGAGGACAAGGAAAACGAAAACAGCAGCTGCATTTTAGTCGAGGAAATTACGGAGATGGTACAAGCTAAAACCAGTGGCCCCGGACCTGGGGATCCACTTTTGGCCAAACAAAAACACCACCACAGAAGGGCATTCGAATACATCTCGAAAGCTTTGAAAATTGATGAAGAAAACGAAGGTAATCCAAAACATTGTTTGTTTTATGTAACGCAATAAAAATTATTTTAAAGGTCAAAAGGATTTAGCCATTGATTTGTATCGAAAAGGCATCACGGAGCTCGAATTGGGTATTGCTGTCCAGTGCTGGGGTGGACGAGGTGAAGTATGGGAAAGGGCACAAAGGCTGCATGGAAAGATGAAAACTAATTTAGCTATGGCTAAAGATCGGTTACAGTTTTTAGGTGAGTACACTTCTGGTTTGTGATTTTTGGTTGGATTTATCAGCACAAGTAGTGTCATCAGTTGATTTTATTCCTATGAACTAGATATTACTTCTTGGCATAATGGCATATCAAACTTTTCATTGAGCAAAATGCAGATATAGATCCCAGCACTCGTCCCAGCAGCTTTTGGGGTACATCAAGAAAAAACAAGGTATTGGGAATACCTAGCAAGGTGAAATATAACAACGACCCTATAGTGGCAGTTTTGAGATTACCAATTCATTTGTGTACTACTTTGACAGTGTTTTTGAGCCTGCTGTTGCCAATAAGGGCAACCCAGCCCTGGTCAATTGGGGCAATTTTGATTTTCCTGAGGTGATGTTTGATAAGGAAACTAAAACCCAAAAAGTGAATGGGTACTGACAACATAGCTGCATACATCTTCAAGGGGTGTGCAGATGCATCAGCCAATCCACTGGCCCATACTGTGCTATAAGCATTGGTGTCTTTACGGAAGTATTTAAGAAATCTGTTATTATTCCAATGCATCAAAAAGTAAACACAACAAATAAATGTTGAAAACTATAGACCTATTTTTTTTTTTTGAAATCGTTTATTCATTCATAAGTATAACAATAATAACAATTATATCCATCTTTGTAATCTAAACAGTATTTAAAATACTGGTATCGACCATAATAAATCTAATATTTATGCAACAGTACTATTGTTATCTACTACACATTATATAACAATAATTATACTATAATAAAACATTTAAAAAGAAAAAAAGTATACATATATTTACCTATATAGTAAAACAGTACAATCACTAATCCATGCTTTACATATCCAAAAACAACCTAACCCTCTTTACAAATCTATTACCCCCAACAATATTTCTTATTTCTAAAGGAAGACTATTATACATAGAAGAGGCTTGATACAATGGATTCAAAATTCCCCTATTTGTTCTAACATGATTAAGGTAGATGTCCCTCTGAGATCGTGTATGGTGTGAATGTATATTGAATGCAAAGTTTATGTGTGTATTGGTTTTTTGTTTTTTATTTATGATTTTATGCATTAACTTGCATTGTTCTAATTTAAGTAGTTTGTCAATCTGGCAGACACCCAATTCAGCATATAGATCTTCAGTGTGTGTTAATATATTATAGTTAAAGAGGACTTTAAGTACTTTGTTTTGAAGTGTTTGAACAGTTTTGAGGTTCATTACACCACAGTTTCCCCATATGGGGAGCAGATATCTAAAGTGAGATAGGAAATAAGAATTGTATACATTCATTTTGGTTTTATGAGTTAAATAGTCTCTATTTTTGTACAAAGCCCCAACCATTGGCACAATCTTGTCCGAAATATGATTTATATGTATTATTAGTATTTTTAACCCCATTGCTAAATTTACTCTTTTTTTAACGGGCCTTTTAGAATATTATTACCTTAATAGAACTAGTGAACTAAGAATAGATAATGTTGTTACCAAGTTAAGTGCCTGGAATCCTGGACTAAAAGTTTTGATCAGGGCAAACAAGTAGACATGATCTATTTGGATTTTGAGAATGCTTTTGACACGGTACCATACTATTTGCTCATTTATAAACTGAATCATCACAGAATGAGAGGTCATTTACTTGCTTTTCTTGGAAATTTTCTAGCAAACAGGAAATATTAGGTGAGAAATGATGGCGCGCTCGGGGGGCGGTTAACTTCCTCAAAAAGTGTACACCGATTTAAAATCACTCTTGATTTTAACTGATTTAACAGATTTGATTGGATTTAAGAGATTTTTATTCAAACCTTAACTGATTTAAGGTAATTTCTCGGGTAATTTAAAGATTTATTGGATCATTTAAAAAGATTTAAGCTGATCTAGGAAGATTTAACTTGATTTAGGAAGATTTACTCTGATTTAAAAAGACTTAAATGGATTAAAGGTTTTTTTAAGATTTGAACCTCGATTTGTGGAACTGATTTAACCAAAAATAGGTATATCTAATAACCAGATATTTTAGTGCTAATGGGTACTTTCGCTCTCATAATAGTCCAGTTTAAATTTTGAACTAATAAAAAAAATTCTAAAAGTAATAAAGTTTGTGAGGCTTTTGCGGCCCAGGTTTATTGATAAGGTGTTTTCATTCGGGCTTAATGGCCATCATAAGTTGGAATTTCTTCCTTTTTCTTAGGAAGAAATTCCAACTTACAACGGCCATTTAGCCCGAATGAGAACACCTTATCAGTTCTAAAAGTGCCACCAAAGTCAGCTAGTCTTGGTACAGGGTAGTGTGAATAAAAATTTAGTAAAAGCTTTATCTTGCATTTCCTAAGCAAATACTTACTTTGCAGTGAATAAAAATGAGTATTAGCTTTAACTAAAAATTCAATAAGTAAAAGCTACAGTTTTTAGCATCGTCTTTAAATGGTGTGAATAAAAGTAAGCAATTCCTAATTATATGAAGGAAAAGCTTACATTTTTGCAAGCCTGGTAAACCTTAGCTTAAATGTTTTAGTAATGTTTAAAAATTTGGCAGAAATCACTGCGTTTATGAATATAAGGTCTGCGAAATTCTATCCTGAAAGAGAAGGAAGTCGTGCCAGGGTCCGTCAATTTGAGGTTGGGTGAAGATTTTTCAGAAAAAATTTGAAGATTCTTCCTGTGGTGCCAACAAAAACACAAACGCACAAGCCGCAAAAACACACACGCACAAGCCGCAAACGAATATAAGCGATTGCACCTCGAGGTTTGTCGAGTTAGAGTCGCCCAAAGTTTGTGCGGGATTTTAACCATTTTCTTATCGATTCGAAATGATTTATGGAGATTTATGAAGATTTATGAAGATTTAAAAGGATTTAAAGAGATATAACGAGATATAGAAAGATTTAACGAGATTTAGAAAGATTTAAAGGGATTTAAACAGATTTAACTGGATTTAAAAAGATTTAAAGGGATTGTAAGAGATTTAAGAAAATTTAAATCTGACCTGATTTAACGTGATTTGATATGATTTATGAAAAAACTAAGGTGATTTAAGGAAATTTATTTATGGATTTAAAGTGTTCCGGATCTCAGATTTTTAGGGACTTAATTGATTTAAAAAGATTTGAGAGGGATTTAAAGAGATTTGAAGGGATTTACCCTCATTTAATCTGATTTAGAGCAAAACAAGATGATTTATGTGATTTATTAAGGGATTTAAAGCGATTTAAGTCCATTTGTACACCGATTTAACAGAGTTAACCGCCCCCCGGCGCGCTGTCCTGATCTCACAGTGTTGAATGGAGTTCCTCAAGGTTCAGTCCTTGCGCCATTGCAGCAGACATAAAATCATCAATTATGTTTTATACTAATATTGAAAAAATCTTGGAAGAAATACAACTGAGGTGTAGCAAATGGAGGATGAAACTGAATGAGGAAAAGGGTACTGTCCTTAGTGTGGGTTCCTAATTGTTTGGAATTGCCTGATACCAAAAATAATACAGTTTTAAACCATTTGCAAGAACAGGAGGACCTTGGAGTTTTGATAACAAATAACTTGGAATGGGAAAGTCACATAAACAAGGTTACCAAGAAAACAAAATACTATTATTCACTGCATTGAACGAGCATTTGCAGATCCTTCAACAGATTTTGTCTTGAAAGTTGACAAGTCATATATTATACTTCCTAAATTGGAATATGCACACACTATATGGAACCCATATGTTATCAAGGATATACAGGGTGTTCATTTTAAAACATACCACCCCTATTATCTCGGAGTTGAAAAATTTTAGAAAAAATTCCTGAAACACCTCAACTATAATTTGAGGGGAGATGAGTTTTTATGCAAAATTCACCTCCCCCTTTCAACCCCCCAGCCCCCAGAACCACCCACTAGAAAATCTTAAATGGGAAGGGGGGTTAAGTGATACACCATTTTGGAGGGTTTTTAATTCCATACATTTTGGTACTAAATTTTAATCCCTAAGTTCAACTGTTTTGGAAATATTGACAGTTGAAAATTGACTTTTTTGCTACTTTGACAAACCTGAACGGCTTATTTTCGAGGAAAACCAATCTTACATTCTTATCTTAGACTTTCATAAACTATCATTTGTCACAAACTTTGAATTCAACCGGAGTTTAAATTTTTAACTGGAATTTTTGATTATGGATTAAATTCAAAGATGCTGTTAAATGATCTAAGATAAAAATGTAAGAAAGGTTTTCCTCTAAAATTAACCGCTCAGGTTTTACAGCCTGTCAACTTTTAATATTTCCAAAACAGTTGAACTTAGGGATTAAAATTTAGTACCAAAATGTATGGAATTACAAACCCTCCAAAATGATGTATCACATCCCGTTTAAGATTTTCTAGTGGGTGGCTCTGGGGGCTGGGGAGTTGACAGAGGGGAGGTGAATTTTGCATAAAAAATCATCCCCCCTTAAATTAAAGTTGATGTGTTTCAGGAATTTTTTCTAAAATTATTCAACTCCGAGATAATAGGGATTAGGGGTGGTCATTTTTAAAATGAACACCCTGTAGAAATGTTGGAACTTGTTCAGCAGAGTGGCTAAAATCCTGCAAGAAATATATAATGACAGACATAAATCTGGCCTCTCAAAACTAAATTTAACAACATTAAAGGTCAGGAGACTAAGAGGAGATTTAATAGAGACCTATAAAATTTTCAATGGCTACTATGACATTTCTACGACTCTTTTTAAACTCAGTGAAAATTTACAACTACATGGATATTCTGTTACGTTACAGACAGAAAAAATATCTAAGCTCTCAAGAAAACACTTCATCATACATTAACCAAATTGTATATCATTGGAATACGTTATCGGAAGAAAGTATCAGTGCCAGAAGTCTGAACTTTTTCAAGAATAGTGTTGACCGTGAATTACCGCAAATCTTATCAAGAAACGCATAATCTGGAAAATATAGTGAGGGTAATAGTATTTGGAACCCCTACTACATCAAGGAAATTTAAATTTTTGAAAGGGTTCAAAG